ATAATATTTTTCTAAATATATAAAATTATTTATGATAGGTTATAATTCATTTGTGCATGGTATCTGTTGTATATTAAGGAAGGAGACAGCATACACTCCTCCTCCACTTCCAACACCCCCTCTGGGTGACCAGGGGGGATCTGGCAACCCTACTGCTAACACAGAGAAATGTGCTGTATAATGGGAGAAGAGGATTAAACAGAAGGAGAGACCCTTTTGTTACACACCTCAGTTCAGTTCTTTGCTCTCCTTTGCCTGTCTTGCCTGGCCATGGGGAGCTGAGTGGCATGAAAAGAACTCTAAAAGCCCCCCTCCCCCCATTATTCAACCAGGGAGGCTGTTAAAGAGCACTGTGTCTGGGTCTCATCTCATGTGGGCCAGTGAGTATGGAACCAGACTCTCATTTCATTTCTAAATATGGTTCTCAATTATAAACTATTTGCTGACCACAGACTGAAAACTGCCCATTCATTCCATCAGCAAAAGCCCTAGACAAAGATTCGGATGAATCTTCTCTGAGTCTGCACATTTCCACAGATCTCATCTTGTATGTAAATAACTGTCACCCATTTTAAAAAGACAAACTGTTGATGAAGTTCCACCTTCCAAAACACATCCTCATTCTCTTTCTATCCAGGACAAGATTTTCCCAAACCTTCCATCTCTGTGAGCCCCAGTGATATGGTGAGCCTGAGAGGAAACGTCAACATCCACTGCAGGAATGAAAAGGTGGCACAAGTAGAGTTCACTCTGCTTAGAGACGGGCGTGCAATTCTGTTCAGGGATGCAGAGTTGCATGAAGCTGTATTCTTCTTGGCCAGTGTCAAGAAAACAGACAGTGGGGTCTACTGGTGTAAATATCATATCAGAAATGACCCAGTCGATCGATGGTCACCTGACAGTGACCCTGTTCACATCAATGTAATAGGTGAGGGTCTGGCTCAGTACTCGTAACTTATTTTTCCACATGACAGTTCTGTCTTGCGTCTGTAAATCAAATGGGAGTATGGAGAAGGACCTCATACATTTCTCTTTAATATTGACAGCAACATTGTCAAGAGATAATATTCCAGAGTCAAAAACCTTACGTGCAACGGCACTCACTGCATTTTCCCTATCCTCAGGGCCCAGCTTCTCCAACCCAGAGGGGATGCATGTTCTAGACATGAAAGTCACCACTGAGTACCAGAATGGGAGCACATTCTCATCTCCTTGGCAGACACATTCAAGGGGCCAGGGAGCTTTGCAGGTGACAGAGCCAGAGAGCAACACAACCAACCAAGTCCCCTTCTCTATACAGTGATGGAGGGATTTTCCAAAATTTTCACTCACTGTAAGGAAAACTCTCACTAGGGCTTCTGCTGGAGCCTTTATAGGAAACCCAGATGCTCATGGCCAGAATGCACAATGGACAGTAGCAAGGTGATGTGCATCTGAGAGTGCACATCGATAAATTGGCTGAGTTTGGTGGCAAAGGCATTCCCTACATTTACATTTCACTGTTTATGCTGATAATATCTGACCACAAAGGCTCCTTCCTCCTTCTCCCTGGCCTGCATCTTTAAGGCACACCTTTGGATTGTGTCTCCTGGACACTCTTGATCTTACCTGCCGCTGAAGCGCTGCTCTGGAACTCCTATGACTCTATCCGCTGCCTGCAACTTCTGCCTTTTGCTCCTTCGAGTTTATCTATGGGGACTGCAGCCATGAAATTAAAAGATGCCTGCTCCTTGGGAGGAAAGCGATGGCAAACCTAGACAACATAATAAAAAGTAGAGACATCACCCCGCCAACAAAAGTCCGTATGGTCAAAGCAATGGTATTCCCAGTAGTACTGTATGGCTGCGATAGGAAGGCCGAGTGCCGAAGGATAGATGCTTTTGAATTATGGTGCTGGAGAAGACTCTTGAAAGTCCCTTGGACTGCAAGGAGATCAAATCAGTCAGTCCTAAAGGAAATCAACCCTGACTGTTCCCTGGAAGGCCAGATATTGGCCACCAAATGAGAAGGGAGCACTCACTGGAGAAGACCCTGATGCTGGGAAAGACTGAAGATGAAAGAAGAAGGGGATGAAAAAGGATGAGATAGCTAAACAGTGTTATTGATGCAACGAACATTAAGTTGAGCAAATTCCAGAGGACGATGGAAGACAGGAGGGCCTGGTGTGATGTGGTCCATGGGGTCGCGAAGAGTCGGACTTGACTGTGCAACTGAACAACAACAAAGTGCATCTATAGCACACTGACTCACTGGCTTTCTGAAAAGAGTGTTTCCCTTTTCTCTCTTTCACTTCTGCCTACATTTTAGGCTCTGTAATTTCCCCTTTTAAACTCATCCCTGTCCTTGACTCAGCTCATTATTTACCCCATTTAATCCCCACCCCAGTTGATTTCCTTCATTCGATATCTCCACTTTATGCTGCATGGAGATGAAATGTCTTTGAAGAACAAAGAAGGTGGCCAGTTTTGTCCATACAGAGGCATCCTCCTCCTCCATCACACTGCAAATGAAATTGCACTTCTGCGCACTGGGCATTTGTTCAGGGTAAAGAGGAAGACAAGAGAGGAATGTTTATTCACCCAGTAATCATTTGAATTGCCGTATATGATCACACATCCAAATCCCAAATATCATCCCTTCTTTCTAGGTGCTCACCCCCACCATCTCCAGCCAGTATCTATGGACAACCTCAGCTGCACATCACCTTGCTACTGGCCAATGATGATGATGAAAAATATTTATACCCCGGTTTTCCTTATGGTTCAAGGTGGCTTACAATAGATTAAAAGAACATTTCCAGTTAAAAACAGAATAAAATACCAAGCCCCAGATCTCCCCCACCCCCGCCCTCTTAAAAGCTGTCTGCCATTCAAACCCCCTCAAAAGCCCTGGCAAAGAAGCAAGGCGTCCAGCACCCCCTGAAGGTCTCCAAGGAGAGAGTGCCCCCCCTCCCCTCTTCACAGGGAGCCCATCCCACAGAGCAGGAGCCACAATGGAAAAGGCGCAGGCTCTGGTCGATGCCGGATAGGCTGCCCTCAGTGGTGGGATAGCCAACAAATGGCTGCATGAAGACCAGGGCTATTTTTGGGCAGGAGCGCACAGGAACGGAGTTCTGGCTGGCTCCCGAGTTGGCCCCACCCAGCAGGAACTCATTAGCATAACAGGCCACACCCAACAGCAGAAACTCATTAGGATTGGCTACATTAGGGGTGTGTGGCCTAACATGCAAAGGAGTTCCTGCTACAAAAAAACCAAATAATTGTGTAAGCCGCTCAGAGGCCCCCTAGGGGTTCGGGCGGGATACAAGCCGAAAGCATAAATAAATAAAAAGGCCCTGGGTTTGGACAACAAACAAGGTCAACAGAATAAGAAGCAAAAGGTGGGTGTGGTTGGATGACCACACTTCTGGTAACAGGGGGTGTGGGGCCTAATATGCTAATGTGCTGTGCTGTCAAGGGTGTAGACTAATAGGCTAATGAGTGTCTGCTTTTCGGTGTGCCATATTATGCTAATGAGTTCCTGCTTGGCTTTTTCTACAAAAAAAGCCCTGATGAAGTCCATAGTTGGCACACGGAGACATATTTAAGACACCTTGTTGCCTGGATCCCACATGCTTGAGGGAATGCTTCTCTCTATAGCAGGGGTGGCCAAACTTGCTTAACGTAAGAGCCACACAGAATAAACGGCAGATTTTTGAGAGCCGCAAGACACGGACAAATATGACACACGTTTTTATTGGGAAATATGCAGATTTGCTTTTTATGAGCATTAAATGAGACTGCCAAAAATAATAACGAAAGTGGTAAAAGCAGATATTGATAATGATATTTATTTGTCCAATGATAATTTGTTTGCTAATGATATTTAGCTTCCCCAGCCGCCCTGCCGGGAGCCGCACAAGACATGTGAAAGAGCCACATGTGGCTCCTGAGCCACAGTTTGGCCACCCCTGTTCTATAGGAACCCAGACAGCACCTCTGTTCTTCGTATCACCCTCTGCTTTCAGTCCCACCCTTCCCGAAGGTGCATATAAGGGCAACTTGCAGGGCTTCCCATGCCTCCCATAGGAAGTGATGAAAGATTCTGCCTTTTGCAGGGGCTTTTGGGATCTCCTGAAGAGGATTCTACATTGGTTAAAGTTGGGCAATGTAGTACCAATGATTATGGGAGGGCTTTTTATTAATCACTGGCTATTGGTTAGAGGTTATAGCTTGCTTTTAGTGTTGATGTTGATCATGATAATATTATTCTTTGGCTACCTTTTGGGGATCTCATTCTTGCCTTCTTTTGGGAGAAAGCCAAGTGTGCAGATATTCTAAATAAATAAATAAATTAGAGCAGCAGCATAGTTGCCAATGTCAGATTCTTTTTGAACATGGAAATATGGAGAGAAGGTTCAGTGAAAACAAAGTCTATCTTTAATTTTTAAAAAACACTAGTAAAAAAACCGGAACGATGAAGCGATGTTTAGCATATCATGGATTCATGACCAAGTACAACCTATGCAGAGACTTTGGTCTAACTCTCATAGAACCCTGTCTTCGGGTTACACCCCTTCAGGTTGTGGGTGGAGCCCAGATATAGCCAGCGTGGTATAGTGTTTAAGAGCGGTGGACTCTAATCTGGAGAACTGGGTTTGATTCCACACTCTTCCACATGAAGCCAGCTGGGTGACCTTGGGTCAGTCACAGCTTGCAGAGCTCTCTCAGCCAAAAAAAAATGTCTAGCTCGCCACCTAGTGGTGCATAATGCTAAAAGAGAAGTTAAGGCTGCCAGACAATCTTCGGGTCTCCTGGCTATACAACACACAATGCCATAAGATAAGTATAAATTATTATCACATGACAAATGTCTCCCCTCCCCCTGGCATTCCAATGTAGAGAAAACTATACATTGGTAGGGCAGAAACTATGAGGGAACCGTCCACCCTGACATCTAGTTCTCTGTGTACAAGAGCCAGAGCTGTGTAAACTTTATGCTAGAAAAGCAAATGTTTGCGCCAAGGTAAAATGAATTTGGTAGGAATAAAAGTGGGGCTCCACACCCTATATGAATTATGGAGATATATACAACTGTTCACTATGCATAATTTATTCTGTGTGTGGACATACTGTAGGGGGAGAGATATCCCTGGTAGTGCAGCACCAGCCATAGGATATCTGATTTAACCCCACCATCTCTGGCTTCTGTTCATTGGCATTTCCTATGCATTTAAACCTACCATTACAACCTTAAGGGCTAGAAACCTTTTTTAATGCAATCTGAGGATCTCAAGAGACTGAATTCTGTGCAATATCCTGAACTGTAGTATCATAGAATACTGGATAATCTACAGTACTAGGACTGAATTCTGTGCAATATCCTGAACTGCAGTATCATAGAATACTGGATAATCTGCAGTACTAGGAATCGACCGGCAGACAGACAATGGATCTATTGATCTGATCTGAATCAAAAGGTTATATTGGTTGGATATCAAGCAAGGATCACTCCAAGCCCTGTGTTTTCCTGTCTTTTAGATCCCAGCCTCACCAAACCCTTCATCAAGGTGAGTCCCAGGGGGAAGCTCACACTGGGCTCAAATGTCACCATTGAATGCCAGAGCAAAGAAAACGGATTGACTTTCTCCCTGCGCAAATCAGGAAAACAGATTGCATCACAGAAGACAGAGCCACGTGGAAACACAGCAAAGTTCCTTCTCTCCGTGGGGAGGACAGAGGATGCAGGGAGCTACATTTGTCAGTGTCAGCACAGAAAAAATCCTTTTGTCTGGTCAGAGCCAAGTGACCCTGTGGAGCTAGTTGTGACAGGTGAGGAAGCAAGCTGGGCATCTTTCTTTCCCCTGCTTTCCAAGCCCCTCTTCTTATGCAGTGACTTCTGGATTTATGCATACCCGGACCCAAAACAGGGTACCTATACCCGTATAAAGGTAAAGGTTCCCTTGCTCGAAAGCCAGTCGAGTCCGACTCTAGGGTTGCGGTGCTCATCTCCGTTTCCAAGCTGAAGAACCAGCGCTGGCATGACTAAACACCAAGGCGCACGGAACGCTGTTACCTTCCCACCGAAGTGGTACCTATTTATCTACTTGCAATTTCTTGCTTTCGAACTGCTAGGTTGGCAGGAGTGGGAACTAGAGACGGGAGCTCACTCCGTCATGCGGCAACCCGGGTCTCGAACTGCTGAACTACTGACCTTCCACAGCCTGCAGTTCAGCGTCTTAACCACTTGAGCCACCGCTTAGGGGTTAACAATTCTACAGAAAATGCAAATAGTAAGATCCTGAGGACCCACTTTTGTGTCAGCAGCTGCTGCCAAAGCAGCTTTAAAAAAAATCTGCACAGCCAATCTATCCAGTGGCCAATCAGAAGTCTTGCTGGGAGAAAGCCCCACCTTGCCCTTTCCACTTTCTAAAAACACTTGGCAGGTGCCAGGAAAGGTGTCTGTGGGTGCCAAGTTGCTCACAGTCACCACGTTGGGGACCCCAGCAGTGTTCCCTCTAAGCTGAGTTAGTGTGAGCTAGCTCACCTTTTTTTAGCCTCCAGCTCACATCTCTGCGCTCAGCGATTTCATTGGCAGTAGAGAAACAATTCTCCACCCAGCTGGGCACAGTGTTTTTTAAGGAAGGCTCCTGCATGAAGTGTGAACGGGTATCTTAATGGAAGAGAAAACTCCACAGCTTAGAGGGAACATCACCCCAGTAATAGAGGAATGGAACAGAGGGGTATATGGAAGCAAACGATATGAAACAGACCAGAATTTATTCAACAATTCCTCACTTCTATTAAATCATCCTACAAAAGCAAAAAAAATAATAATCCCAATAATATACCATTTTAACAATAATATATTTTGATTATTCTTATTATCCACAATAAAAAAATTGTAAAAAGGCAAATCATGTGTGGAAGCTGTTCTTTGTGAGCAGAGGGGATACACCAACTCTGCCTGCAAAGAAAAGTTCTTCTCAGGTAGGAGCTTCTTCACAGCAAGCAGCTAAACATCTCTGCGCTCAGCGATTTCATTGGCAGTCGAGAAACAATTCTCCACCCAGCTGGGAACAGTGTTTTTAAGGAAGGCTCCTGCATGAAGTCTGAAAGGGTATCTTAATGGAAGAGAAACTCTTTATAGTTTTTAATGTTTGCTGAAAGTTTGTCAACGTTTTTATTTTTAGTTTATTCCTTCGTGGTTTTCAATTTTTGTAATCTGCCTCGAGCCTTTGAGAAAGGCAGACTACAAATGAGGTGACAAATAAATAAATAGGCAGCTTCTAGTTGAAAAGTGGCTTTCCTCAGAAAAGGAGTATGAAGGTTATGATGAGCATAGATAGAAGACTCATTCCAGGCTGCTGTATTTCTGTTTATGTGTTTATATGTTTTGTTTCATTTCTTTAAATATTTTATATATGTATTTGTATTTGATAAGCTACCTGAAATGTTTTAATGTTCACCTTGTTGAGGACCCTGAGTTGGGTGGGAAGGTGGCATAAAGGTAAAGGTAAAGGTTCCCTTGCTCGAAAGCCAGTCGAGTCCGACTCTAGGGTTGCAGTGCTCATCTCCGTTTCAAAGCCAAAGAGCCAGCGCTGTCCGAAGACGTTTCTGTGGTCATGTGGCCGGCATGACTAAACACCAAGGCGCACGGAACGCTGTTACCTTCCCACCTATTTATCTACTTGCAATGTCTTGCTTTCGAACTGCTAGGTTGGCAGGAGCTGGAACTAGAGACGGGAGCTCACTCTGTCCTGTGACACTCGGGTCTCGAACTGCTGAACTACTGACCTTCCACAGCCTGCAGTTCAGCATCTTAACCACTTGAGCCACCGCAGCTCCCAAAGGTGGCATACAAATGCATTAAATAAATAGTAAATAAATAATCTTCTGTATGTAACTGGATGAACATTTAACTCAAGATGTCCTTGGTTTTTCAGATGGATCCTTGACTATCATATTGGCCAGCTGTGCTGTGAGCCTTCTCCTGGTTCTTGTCCTCCTCTTGCTTGCCATTGTATGGTACAAAAGAAGAAGAAAGTGTGAGTTAATGGGTGGTTTAAAATATATGAAATGGAAGTGCACAGCATATAACATACTTCCGGGAAGGCAGGTGTGTTGGTCTGTGGTAGAAGAGTTCGATTCGAGTCTAGTAGCTCCTCAGAGACCAACAAGAGTCTTGTGATATAAACTTTCCAGAGTCTGAGCTCCCTTTGTCAGATGTTAACTTGTACTGAATAAAATGATTGGTCCATCTGGCACAATATTGTCTGCTCTGACTGGGCGTGGCCCTCAGGGTTTCAGTCAGAGAACGATCTTTCCCACCATCTATCTGACATCCTTTTGCCTGGATGTGCCAAGAATCAGCCTTCTGCTTGCAAAGTATATGTTCTGCCACTGAGCCCCAGAATGGTCCGTCTAGCTCAGCATCATCTATCATGACTGGCAGCAGCTCTCCGGAGACAGACAAGGGTCTTTCCCATCACCTGGGATGCTTTACCGAGAGATGCCAAGACTGTACCCAGGATCTTTAATATGCAACACTTGTGTGCTACCCGTAAGCCACAACCGTCCCCTTGAACTGGCACTAACTCGGGTTTCACAGGCAAAGTATTAGCCCAAATGCTTCCACCACACGAAAGCCCAGTGATGAAATTTTAACATGGTGGAAAGAGGAGTCTTTCTTTCAAATGAAGGAGAATAGACAATTCGGGAAACTGCAAAAGCTGGGTGTGGGCTGAGCAGCATTTCAAGCGGCCAGAGGCGGAGAGTTTCAGTTCCCTTTAGATTTCCCTTCCCCTCCCTGAGTAGGAGAAGCAAAACTATGGTCCCTGCCACACAGCAGGAAAAACATTGGCCAAAGTGCGGCAAATCAGAGCCGCACCAAAGTAGAGACGCCGCGGCGGGATCCCATGGATCCCCTGAGCCGCGGCGCCGTTGCTGCCCAGCACGATCAGATGCCAGGGAGAAAGCTACCGTCGGGAGGGGGAGCCTGCCGAACTGCGCATGTGTGATGTGCCGGTGGAAGGACACGCCGGCAATCCCACGGCTGGCTTTGATGCAGCCTTCCCGGATGAACCACCATGGTAGGTTGTTCATTTTTGCTGCAGGGTTTTGGGCGGAAGGGCCGGATCGGGAACGGGCACCCAATGCTTCCCAGATGTTGCGGTGGGATCGTGCCCGTTTGCTGCGGCCCCGATCCGTCCCTCTCCCAGCCCAAAACTTCTTGTGTGACCGGGGCCCGAGTGAAATAAGCAGGCATGTATTTAATTTATCTCTGTGTGAAATGTAGTGTAGAACTGGAGTTAATTTTTCTAGTACAGGTAATCTAGCGCATGGCAGAATGTTAAGCAGGTTTCCTCCACCAAGGATCTGGAATACACAGGGAAGGAGCAGTGTGGGCAATTCTTGTTTGCAACAGATTGACTGAAAATTCTCCTGAACTCTTTCTGATCTACAGGCGCCACTGCTAATGAAGAAAGCCAACCAGTGACAATGGTATGTGACCTACCGCTCTGTTAATGACTGTGAATGTCCTGCCAGAGTTCTATCGTCATATTTTGATGAATACAGAAAGCCATGTGACAATGGGTGAATCGTAACAAGCCAAACATAAAGAACAGCCAATAAACATACTAAAAGGCTAGGCTCACACTCTGCCTGAACTGGTGTTATTAAATTGAAGGCCATTACTCCCCGTTATTTTTATGGCAATACCCATCTTTGCCTAGCGTTAATTTAATAACAGAATTGCCAGTGTGAGCTGTTTTAGGATCGTACCCTTTCAGGATAGCAGATATGACACAGCTGCATACATGATCCTATTTGGCAACCCAGACTGCTTTGAAAGGGGACAGGGGGCCATGTGCTAACCTCAAGGTGATCTAGAGGCAACCCCAGATCCCACCCACTCTCGTTTTGAAGCTGCCTTTTGGAATTATTTTATTGGAGCCTCATTTGTTTTCTACACAACTGTACTCGGTGAAGTGATGGCAGAAATGTACTTTAAAAAGTCTCTCTCTTTAAAATGTCCAATGCATCTCCTGATAAATATCATAATAAATTAGTAGCTGTTTGGTATCCTGTTATTAGTTTTATGTTGGCTAATGATATTATTCCAGACAATCCACAGTATAAGAAAATGATTTAATTTTAATTGTACTGTAAAACAATACAAAACCGTTTGATGTATTTTGTTTGTTTAATGTTGAAAGTGTGTAATTTACTGAAAATTGTTAATTAAAAAAAAGTCTCTCTTCCCTCCCCTACCAGCCCCTGAAACCTGAAGCCAGAACCTCTGGAGTGGAACATGATGAACTCACCCACGGAACAGACAATGACAGCCTGACCTATGTTGCACTGAACCATCAGCCACTGAGAAGCAAGGAGGCAGCCATTCCTGGGAACCCCTCTGAATCTTGCGTTTATGCCTCAGTTGCCAAAGACAGAGCCAGCAGTAAAAACCATTGCAGTGCCAGTCCAGCAGCCCATGAAAATGCTAAAGCCATGTAAAAGCAAGCCAAGCTGAGCAGGAGGCTACTTTGAACGAGGGGGGAGAGGAGAGAGAGGCTCGAGTGCCCTGCTTCAGTCGTCCCTTTCCTGAAGCTACTTTTCAAAGTCTTTGCTTATTTAGCATTCCCATGTGTCTCCATTGGCCAACTGCAAAGAAGAAGAAAAAGAGGAGGAGGAGGAGGAGGAGGAGGAGGAGATTGGATAGGAGGAGATTGGATTTATACCCCGCCCTTCACTTGGAGTCTCAGAGCAGCTTACAAACTCCTTTCCCTTCCCCTCCCCACAACAGACACCCTGTGAGGTGGGTAGGGCTGAGAGAGCTCTTGACACAAACTGCTCTTTTTCAAGGACAGCTGTGCCACAGCTTGTGACTGACCCAAGGTCACATCAGCAGGTGCAAGTGGAGGAGTGGGGAATCAAACCCAGTTTTCCCAGATTAGAGTCCGCGCACTTAACCACTACACCAAACAGGAGAAAGTCATGGCAAGACTGAAACTCTTTTCCCCCTGGAGCCCCCTGGAACCTGATGCCAGAACAGACCGTGCCGGAGTCACGTACGCTGTACTGAAACAGCAGTCATTGAAAATCAAGTGAGCAGCCATTCCTGACGGGGCTCCCTGCCTTGTGTCTATGCGTCAGTGGCCAAAGGCAGAGTTTGGGAGGGGCAATAGGCAGGACTCCTCATAGACTCTGGTAATCCTGCGTCCCTCGAGCACACCTGAGATCCATGGACAACACCCCCCCACCCCGCCGCCTATTTTCTCCAAACAACCATGTGCACAAGTTAAGGGGAGGACAGGATAAAAAATTAATTAATAAACAAGCAGGGCTCTTTTTGTAGAAAAAGCCCAGCAGGAACTCATTAGCATAATAGGCCACACCCATGAGAGCATAGCTCATTAGCAAATGAGGCCACACCCCTGTGTTACCAGAAGTGTGGTCATCCAGCCACACCCGCCTTTTGCTTCTTATTCTGTTTACCTTGTTTGTTGTCACAACCCAGGGCTTTTTTGTAGCAGGAACTCCTTTGCATGTTAGGCCACACACCCCTAATTGTAGCCAATCCTAATGAGTTCCTGCTGTTGGGTGTGGCCTGTTATGCTAATGAGTTCCTGCTGGGCGTGGCCAACTCGGGAGCCAGCTGGAACTCCGTTCCTGTGCGTTCCTGCCCAAAAATAGCCCTGCAAATAAGTAACTACATAGAATAGCATTTGGGTAAATGGGGTGGCTCATGGAGATAGCCAGAAGCCCCAAAGACTACCAAAGGTATTCCAGTATCCAGATAACAACAGTTGCTGTCACTATCGCCATTATCCATCAATAATCAATAAAATGCTATTGACTTGGTTATGCATGTCATACCTAAGGGATGTTTATTTAACCTTTATTTCTGCCACATATAAGATATACCTGGACAAATTAAATTTAAGTAAAAATACTTTGTGCCAGAAGTAAGCTATAACTGAGTTTTAAGAGAGTGCTCTCCCACAGAACTATATGGGAGTCTATGCACCCTTTATACAAAAACAGAAGCTTGGTACCAACATTATTTTGAACGTATGGCAGGGAGGGGAGCAGGACTGTGTACTCCCAACCTCCAGATCTTTAGCTGAGAACCTTCATAATGCCTACTAGCATACCGTTGAATGTACATGGTGCTTACGCCGTAGGACTGGCAACTCTAGAAAAGTAGGATTCCTGATGACGCAGAGAGAGGACATGTGTACAGTTGTGTTCATATAAGTTGTGTGCAGGTAGCTGGGCGAAGGCATGGGTGTTGCAATGGACACACTACATGGGATCTACATTTCCACCCCCAAAAAATTCATGAGAGAGGCCCAGCATTGAAAACCCGAAGGAACATCAGAAATCTCTTTGCCATCCTTTAGCACAAGCTGAGAGTGACCTCTAGTGGAAACATTTGAGGATACTTTTCAAGGGCAGTAATAATAATTATCATATGCCAGTTGGTGTAGCATAGCCAGGAGATCCGAAGATTGTCTGGCAACCTTAAACTCCAGCTCTTTTTGTGGCAGACTAGATTTTTTGGAAGCTCTTTTTGTGGCAGACTAGATTTTTTGTACTGAAAGAACTGACTGACCCAAAGCCACCCAGCTGGCTTTGAGTGGAGAAGTGGGGAATCACTCTTAACTATTACACCAAACTGTCTCTCTTTCAAGGGCAGTAATTGGGCTGTGTATTAATGGGGATGTGGACTCGGGGCAAACAGCTTCCCTTGGCTGTTTCACCTTGAGAAAATGTTATGGGAAGGAACAGGGGTCATTTTGTAGAAAAAGAGGTGCAGGAACTCATTAGCATAACTCATTTGCATATGCCACACCCCCTGACATCACTGGAAATGTGTCAGAAGGAAACATCCACTGGACTGTTTTGGATTGCTAGCTATTGGGGGGGGGGGACATGCAGATCTGTCCTCACAGAGGAGGGAGAGCTTGTACCTGAATA